TCCCAGGAGAGAGTAGTCAGGGAAAAGCTGAAACATCAAGAGAGGGAACAAAGCCAAAGCTTTCTTTCAAAGCTAGAAAACTCTCCTGGGGGTAACAGCAAAGTGTGTGGTTACAGTTTTTCTGAGTGCCCACTGCTGCTGCAGAGTAACCAGCCCTGGGGGAGGTGGGGGGCAGTTAGGGTAGTTAACTGGTAAGGGTATAGGGCTAAGTTTGCATATCTAGTACAACACAACTTTTTCAAAGTCCCGATTGACCTTAATATTCCAATCGACTCTCATTTTCCCATTTTGCGATTAGATTAGCCTAAAGAGGAACTAGTGGCTTTAGGAGAACTGCTGAACTTTCTGTTTCAGCCACGGCTTTCTTTCCCATCAGCTCAGTCTGCCCCAAGCTTGCTGGCTGCTACTTGGTGCTAGTGTGTCAGGCTGGGGCTATCTGAGCCATGAACAGCGTCAGGGGTGCCGTGCTTATCTGGGCAGTGGCAGTATGGGCTAAAATGAACAAACCTCTGGGAGACACAGATGAGGATGGATTTCAAAAATGCAAGAATGCCTTAAAACTACCTGTTCTGGCAGTCTTACCTGGAGGCGGCTGGGATAACCTGCGGAATGTGGACATGGGACGGGTGATGAACTTGACTTACACCTACTGCAGGACCACAGAGGATGGACAGTACATCGTCCCTGATGAGGTCTTTACCATCCCCCAGAAAGAGAGCAACCTGGAGATGAACTCAAAAATCCTGGAGTCCTGGGAGAATTACCAGAGTAGCACCTCCTACTCCATCAACATGGAGCTCTCCCTTTTTTCCAAAGTCAACGGCAAGTTCTCGCCTGAGTTCCAGAGGATGAAGACCCTTCAGGTGAAGGACCAAGCTGTAACTACCCAGGTTCAGGTAAGAAACCTGGTCTACACAGTCAAAATCAACCCAGATGCAGAGCTAAGCTGGGGGTTTAAGAAGGAGCTCATGGACATCTCTGAGCGTCTGGAGAAAAACCAGACGCGGATGGCCACCTACTTGGCGGAACTGCTGGTCCTCAACTATGGTACCCATGTCATCACCAGTGTGGATGCAGGGGCTGCTCTCATTCAGGAGGACCACATCAGATCGTCCTTGCTCCAGGACAGCCAGAACAGCCGCAGTGCAGTGACAGCGTCCGCTGGAATCACCTTCCTAAACATCGTGAACTTCAAATTTGAGGAGAACCACACCTCACAGAACGCCTTCACCAAGAGCTACCTCTCCAACCGAACTGACTCCAGGGTGCAGAGCATTGGAGGGCTTCCTTTTTACCCAGGCATCACCCTCCAGACCTGGCAGCAGGGCATCACCAACCACCTGGTGGCCATGGACCGAGCTGGCCTGCCTCTGTATTTCTTCATCAACCCTGACAGGCTGCCTGACTTGCCAGGACCCTTGGTGAAAAAGCTGTCTAAGACAGTGGAAACTGCCGTGAGACGCTATTACACGTTCAACACCTACCCCGGCTGCACAGATGTCAACTCGCCCAACTTCAATTTCCAGGCCAACGTGGATGATGGCTCTTGCGAGGGGAAGATGACCAATTTCTCCTTTGGCGGGGTTTACCAGGAATGCACCCAGTTCTCAGGCAATGAGGTTGTCCAACTCTGCCGAAACTTGGAGCAGAAGAATCCACTCACTGGCAATTTCTCCTGCCCCTCTGGCTACACCCCAGTCCAGCTGCTCTCCCAGACCCACGAGGAGGGTTACAACCACCTGGAGTGTTCCCGGAAGTGTACCCTCCTTATCTTCTGCAAGACGGTGTGTGAAGATGTCTTCCGGGTTGCCAAAGCAGAATTTAGGGCTTTTTGGTGCGCGGCCAGTGGCCAAGTACCTGAAAACTCAGGACTACTCTTTGGCGGCCTCTTCAGCGATAAGAGCATCAACCCTTTGACAAATGCACAGTCATGCCCAGCTGGCTACTTTCCGCTGAGACTTTTTGAAAACCTCAAGGTATGTGCCTCTCAGGACTATGAGTTGGGATATAGGTTTTCCGTCCCGTTTGGCGGGTTCTTCAGCTGTGCAGTCGGGAACCCCTTGGTGGATTCTGTCATGTACAAAGATTTAGGGGCACCTTCTCTAAAAAAGTGTCCGGGGGGTTTCAGCCAACACCTAGCCCTCATCAGTGACGGGTGCCAAGTGTCTTACTGCGTCAAAGCCGGGCTTTTTACAGGAGGGTCTCTGCCTCCCGTCAGGCTCCCACCTTACACCCAACCACCCCTCATGAGTCAGGCTGCCACCAACACTGTCTTAGTGACTAATCTTGAGACTGCAAGCTCCTGGATTAAAGATTCCCAGACCCACCAGTGGAGGCTCGGGGAGCCTCTCGAGCTCCGCAGGGCCATGAAGGTCATCCATGGGGATGGTAGTGGCCTGTCTGGAGGGGCGGCAGCTGGGGTCACACTGGGGATCACCACCGTCCTGGCAGCTGTCATTGCCCTGGCCATCTACGGCACCCGGAAGTACAAGAAGAGGGGATACCAGGCGGTCCAAGACGAGAGGCAGAGTTTGGTTACAGACACGGCTGTGAATGGAGATGCCCTTGACCAAGAACAGGTGCAGAGTCCAGCCTAGGCTCTCCCAGGAAACTATTTCTCTCGTCTCCGGCCAGAGCTTCAAACATGTCTTTCATTTTTTCTTTCCACTTCTGCTTTCCTAAGTATTGATGTGGTAAATGCAACAAAAGGCAGGTATAACTTTGGGACTTTCTTAGGTCTTTGGGCCAGAAAATGAATAGAGCTACGTGGACAAAGTTGTGGGAGAAGTTGGAGAACAGTTGTGACTTTTTAAGCAAAGGTCCTCCTGGAGCCTAAAACACTAGGGAGGTGTCTTTTCTCTACCTGCGTCAGTAAGTATCTTCACCTGAATGCCCATGTGTAAAAAGAGAGGAGGGAGAATGTTGATATTTGAATCTGAAGACGCGTTTAATCTGAGGTCAGCCATGGTTTCCAATTCATGAGCTCTAAGAATTTATGCCTTTACGTGTTACCCTCCCACTATTTTGTGTTTTTAAAAAGCTGTCTGGATTTCATACTCCTGGAGGCGGACAGAGCCCCCAGAAGACACAGGAGGTCCTGCTTGACTATTGCTTTTCAGCTTTGAGGGCTCTGAATTGATGAACTGTGTCATCTCCTCTGGGTCCTCTCAACATCATCTGAACCGAGAGATGGTGCCTATACTAGGCCCACTTTCTCCAACTTCACCACAGTTAAGACTTACTGAGACCAGGCCACTCTTGGACTTCAGACTAGGGTCATAAAGTCCTCAGAAAACATTTTAACATATAAACTTCTATTAAGAGGGAGAAGGGATGGTTTGGAGACCAGGAGTGAGTGAAGAAAGGGTAAAAACTAGAGAAGATTCTGGTGCTCATGGGCAATTGAAATTCTTACCCACAGCCAACTACTTGGTTTTGTCCTCTTAGCTCATCATAAATGGGCAAAGAAAGGAGCTGCAGGTTTGGATAGATCAAGCATTACCATCTCATTTTCTGTTACCAAGATACAATCCCTTTCTCTTCCATGGATGGCCATCCCCCCTTCAGGTCGTCCCCATCACATGCACACACACCCTCAAACACACACACACCACATTCCAACAAGAAGTCTGCATTTTTCTGGGGGTGGGAGACCAAAAAAACACAAGAAGTCTAAGTAAGCCCATACCTAAGTATCACTTCATCCCTAAAACCTAAACAGAGTAAAAATTACCAATTAGGTACCCTACCCTTATTTTTTTTTTTCCAGCAGAAAGGGGGTTGACGTGAATAAATCAATTCTTTTAAATGAAACGAAAAAGCCATCCAACGTCATTTGTGACACATTTATTTCAGTTCCAGGCTGACTTCCCCGGGTCATGTAGCATGATACACGATTGTTACTTGGAAGTTGGGGCTTTGCCCAATTTTAAAAACAGTGTCACCTAATTGTAATTATTAGGGTGAATCTGTTAATATTCTTCTGCAACATTTTTTAGAGTTACATATTTCTTCACCAAATCAAATGTCATTGCTGAGTTATCTTTTATGAAGGATAATTTGTCCTCATTAACATTCACAGTCAAGAGTTTAGGCTTATATTAGGTCCTTCTTCTGAGTAGCTTGAAGCATCCCAGACTGTGGGGAGATGGGAGGGGGCATCACACATTCACCTCTCACTGTGATACAGGGAAGTGATTCACAGAATTTGAGTTGTGCTCTCAGCCAGAGACATCGATTTCTACAACCTCTCTACCAAACCCCTGCTTCTTAAGCACTAAAATGTTCTCCTTAAGCTCTGGGTGTTTTGTGGGTATGTTTCAGCCAAGCTAACCACTTTCCTGCCAATACTGACTTCCCCGTGAATTCTTTGAAGATTACTGAGTCAGAGAGACCAAGTATAGCTAGAGCCTCCCAGACTTTTTTTTTAAAGAAGATGTTGGGGGTAGGAGTTTATTCATTAATTAATTTATTTTTGCTGTGTTGCGTCCTTCGTTTCTGTGCAAGGGCTTTCTCTACTTGTGGCAAGCGGGGGCCACTCTTCATCGCGGTGCGCGGGCCTCTCACTATCGCGGCCTCTCTTGTTGCGGAGCACAGGCTCCAGACGCGCAGGCTCAGTAGTTGTGGCTCACGGGCCTCGTTGCTCCGTGGCATGTGGGATCTTCCCAGACCAGGGCTCGAACCCGTGTCCCCTGCATTAGCAGGCAGATTCTCAACTTCACCAACTTATATTTCTAACAACGTTGCACATAAATATGCATCCAAATGTGTACTTAAGGAATACTCTGTTCGACTGTTCACCCACAGGAAAGCAGAATGAGGGAGTCTGTGGCTTAGTCATCAATTCACTTTACAAATCAGAACCTCCATGAGGGGTTCACAGGCTCCGCTTTCAGAATCCTGCTTTTCTGACCGGCTAGCTCAGGCTGGCATCTGTGGAAACACTAACCACACTCCACAGACGATCAGAAATGGAGACACATTTGGGTGACAAAGGCGGCTTTGCAATTGCATTTTATTTTTGTGATCTCATTAGTATCGAGATGATCAATACTAAACATGTATTTGAAAAACAACAGCCTGTAAACTATTGAAACATACACGATAGTGTAGTCAGGTGAAGGGAACTTTAAGAAGCAAACGTTCATGGCTTTTAAGACGGTATTTCCCCCACAGTTTCACTTACGTACTTCCCCTGTCACATGGTCTGTTCCTTTAGAGGAACAAGAAATCAAGCTAGGTAACTTGGTCAAACGTGTGGGTAGAAAAGATGTGAAAAAATTAGAAAAAGGGACTCTCCCGTTCAGTGGAAGGGCTTGTGGTTGCTTACGGACTTAGGGAGGTCACCCCAATGCCTCACAGGTCGGGGTACTGGTCTACAGAAAGCAGGTTGACGGCAATTTTGAGGTTGTTCATTTACCACTTATTGTTCTGCACTTACACCTCATGAGCACCAGGTGGCGATGTCCTCTCACAGAGCAACACCAAGGACGTCAAAAGACGCTGGTTTCAAACAATGATTTGCGACAGGACATTCACCTGCCCTCTCCCAGACCCACCTTCTCCCCACTCCCCATCAGTGTCAGTGGCCACAAACAAGGAAAGAGGACAGGGTCCTTTCTTGTACCACGCGGGACCTTCCCCTAATCCTCTCATGCCCACAACAGTGCAATACCAGGACGAGCACTTTTGACCAAGTATAAAACCACAGAGAAGTCCAAGCTTTACAAATGGGGGACGAAAACACAAAGGCACACACAACTACACATACACAATTCATCTTTTAAGGGATGAGCATATAACAAGGTTTGTCTCCAATCCCACGTGTCATCCCTGGAGACTCAGGAAGGGAGAAACTAGGCTGCTGGTGCTAAGACCATGAAAGGAAAGGCATGAAATTCCCTGCCCGGGGCAGGGAACACAGCAGGGCTTCCGCTGCGAGAACTTCCTGTGTCAAAGTGATGGACGCACAGGGCCTCTGCTGGAGGGGGTTCTCACCGAACCCGAGACTGTACCTTTCCCGGTTGGCACAAGAGAGAGGGCAAAGGAATGCCTCCCGCCTTGCCTGACACAGTGTTAGGAAGGAAGTTTAAGATTCCTTCTTCTGAGAAGGTCCCACAACTAGAGCAGCATGAGGATGAGGTAGTCCCTATTGAGCATCCTTAGAGAGCAAGAGACACGGGGCGCCGATACCATCAGCGCCCTGTGGGGGAAGGCTTGAAGGTACGAAGATGGACTCTCAAAGGGGTATTGCCCCTGGCACACTGCCTGCCTTACATGTTCCCTGCATCCTCTTTCTGCTCCTGGCCGCCCCCTTCTCCACCCACACCTTCTTCTTCCTGATCCAGGGAAATCAATCTCTCCCCACGGCCCTCTGCCGGTTGTCAAAGCATTCTTCTTTCTTTCCCGTCTCCTACTGCACAGCTCTATCTACCCGCTGACGCTCGGTCTGTTTCCTCATCCCCTGTGGGTGAGGAACCCAGGGGATACTTGACAAGGGTGCTGAATGAAGGTAGGGATGGTACGAGGCGTATAACGTGGCTCATCTCTGGCACGGCGTAGCCTTAGCCTGGCAAAGGGCATGGACGTGACATCAAAAGCTGCAGGGATGTCTCTTCCGTTGAGTTCAGATGTTTCCTTCCCCACTGTGGCAGGAAACTGCCCCATGGTGCGGTGAACTCAGGCCCTGGTCTGCTGGTGAGATAAATGACGGATGAGAGAGACTGGAACTCAGCCAGCAGGAGCCATTCCTCCTGTCAGAGCTCCCTTTGCTGGAGCCGATTAACACCCCTATAGCCATTTGGAAAAGGAGGGGAGCGTGACCCAGAAGCTGGGTGACACCCAGGTGAGCCCACTGGCCGCCCGACGGTCAAAACGCCTGCAGGCGTTTGGAGCAAGCAGCTCGGAGCCCGCTCTCAGAAAAGCTTGGCTTCTGCTTCTAACTTAAATACCAGTTTTGAAGGTTCTTCCGTTTCCACCTTTCTAGCATCGAAAACCTTCCACATACTATGAAATATATATGCATATATATACGTCAAATCCCCAAACGTGAGGTATATAAAATCAAATTAGAATCCAGAGGAACTTCCCCCAAACACGTAGTTCAAAGAACCCACTTTCAAAGGGAGGGTTGGGTTTCCCTTCTTGGTCCCCCTTCTCTCCTCCCTGACACACAATCCCTTCCTTAACGGGAGCTGAAGGGAATGTCAGGGAGGGGCTATACAGGGTCTTGGGACACAACCCAGACGCAGGTTGGACTGGACCCTAACGTGGCCCCAATCCTGCTGGGAATGGGCTAGGGTCTCCCTCACGCTCTGGGTCATCCTGTAATCGACGAGGGAGGTGAGGGGCCCAGCACCACCTCCGGGCTCTGGTTAGCAAATGTGCACGGAGACAGAGTGAAGCCCTTGTCGTCTGGCTCAGATCTCATCTTGAAAGAGATATACAAAGGGGTCAGTCCAGCCCTCACCTTACACATCTTCCCAAGCATAGTTCTGTCTTCTTCTGGGTCCAAGTTGACTATGGGATGGGCTGGCAAAGGGTGAAGCAAGTCAAGGGCTGTTTCATCCCCATCAGAATGGGGGTTTGACATCTTGCAAAACAGAGTGTGAGAACACGACGGGACCCTCCACCAACCTGGCCCAGCAGTGCACACATGCGCACACACGCACATGCACATACACATATATGCACGCACACAGATGGCACAGAGCCCAGCCTGGGCTCCACTCACAGTGACTGGATGAAACTCATGGAATCTTTGAGCCGGTCTGGGATGAGTTGGGAAGAAGGCTATGGGCTCCTCTCCCTGAGGACTGTTCAGATGCTAAGTTGGGTGCAGGCTCGGATCTGATCAGAGAGGGGCTGGAGACATCGTGGGATGCGGCCCCAGAGAGGAACCCCAGAGCCTATCCATCTGTATGCCTCTTTGGACAGGTCAAAGGTGGGAGGAGGAGGGAGGGCCCAGAGAAGCCAGGGCGATGATGAGAGCTGAGCCTGCTCCCGGGAGCCTGTGCCACCCTGACCCTCTTGGCGAGACGTGCTTCCTTGCTGTACACCGAGGCACGGATTTCTGACGTCACAGCAGTTTCGCGGTTCACCACTTTGCCCCCCAGTCTTGCACAGTGAGAGCCCCTCACCTCCAGCGGAGGAGAGAAAAGCAGAAACTCCGCTCTCGAAGCAGAGTGGAAGCAGCAAGAAACCGGCTGAGCCATGAACCTCCGGCTTCACAAGGCCAGGATAAGGAGTGCCCATACCCTAAGTGTGCTGCCCGTGCCCCCTGCTTAGGGGGGTGAGGGGGGTCCCTGCCTTCCCAGCACCGAAAACTCCATGGGAACAGACTGAGGATGGCCCTCATCCCACGTCCCCTTTGCGTTGGATGAGGTTTGTGGATGACACCAACCACCTTATTCATTCTGACTGCTCCCCCCAGCCTGGGGCTGGGAGGGATGGGGGGTGGAGGCAGGACAGGAGGGGAGACAGGGAGTTGGGAGGGCATGGCGCCAACTTCCACCTTGACTCTCCCCACTTCCTGACCTGTGGTCCCATGGCCTCTCCCACCCCAAAGCCCCTCCGGTTCAGTCCTTCTCCTGGGCAGTACTGTCCTCAGAAATTCCCTGGGCAGCCAGTTCAGCCAGCACGTTATCCAGGTAATTGGCATCTGGGTAGCCGTGGCCAGTGAGATTAGAGCCAAACTCTGTCTTGTGATGGACCTCATTCCAGATGACGGTATCTGACTCGCCTGTGGTGCTGGACGTACCGATGGCAAAGATGAGACGGCGATCCCAGGCCACAAGCAGCAGCTTCAGGACCTAAGAGAAAAGGCAGGAGGTCAGAGTCAGGCATTCAGTGGTGGTCAAAGACTATCCCTTGGGAAGTGGAGAGTCCTCCCAAAGGTCCTAGCCCCTCCTGCATCGTGATACCCTAAGTAGCACAGTGACTAGAAAGGGATTTGCAAATGGAGTCAGGGACCTGCAGGTTAAGTCTCGACTCTGTCGTTGACTAACTGTGTGACCGTGGACAAGTTACATCACCTCTCTGAACTTTCATTTCCTTACTTATAAAACGGCAATGGTACACTTTACCCCTGAAGGTTGTGTGCGTAACTTAGGGAGTACTATGTGAAAAGCACTTTCACAGTAGTGTTTGGCACACCTACTCAACAAATGCTAGGTGCGAGCATCATAGCTGCATTTTAAAAGCTGGGATCTAGGCATCCAAGGCACTTATGATCTGAGATCTTCTGAGCTATGCCCTCCCCCACTGCCATCACCACCACCTGAATGTGGTATTAATTGATCCACAGCTAAAGTTGTGGAATATCTCTCCAGGGACATGGTGGAAGCGTTTTGACCTCTTCCAGGCTATTTCATATTTATTTTCTCATCTGATCCTCACAGCCACCCTTTGAGGCAGGTCTGGCAGGTACTAATATTATCTCTGTTTTATAGGTGAGGCTCAGAGAGGTGTTAGGGCTTGCAGAATGTTCTAATTCAGCTGCATTAGAAAAATCTTTGTTAAGATGAATGCCTGACACCCTGACCAGCATGAAGAAGGCACCCGATTAAAATGCACTGGGTTCAAAACTGAATGACTATAACCACGGTGCCAGCTGGAGGTGGGGAATCTTAATAGTAATAAGAGTAGCAGGCTCTGAAACTAAGAGTTACCATTTCCTGAGTGTTTACTTACTAATGCCAGGCACTGGGTCATGTAATGGTTATAATAATTGGCCAACACAGGATACTCATTATCCCTTCTCTGCAGAAGAGGAAACAGGCTCAGAAGACAAAAGATTTGCCTTGGTCACAGCTAGAAAGTGCCAGAGGGGGCCTTGGCTTCAGGACTGCTTGACTTTCCCATCCCTGCTCTCAGTCATGTCTCTGTTGACTCTCAGGTGGGGGTCAGTACAGATTTCATGGAGGAGGCTGCTTCTGAGCTGATCTCAGAGAGAGGGGAGGATATGAGGTATATTAATAGAGTAGGACGTATAGACACTGGAAACACATATCATCCAAGGCATGGATAATTGAGATTGCTGCCACCACGCTGGGCATGTTACAAACGCGACCTTCATTTAATTCTTACAACATCCTGTCCGTACAGCTAGAAGCGATCACCATTCTTTTATAGATTAAGTCAACTTCACGTCAGTTCCCACAGCTGGTAAATGGCAGAACTAGGATTTGAACCCAGGCTCGTCTGGCTCCAAAGCCCATGCTCTTATTACTTTGCTCTGCAAAGGAGCCCAAGGTTAGCATCGGGGAACGGCAGACAGGAGGGATAAGGGTGAGGAATTGGCGAGAGGGGACCCACACTGTAGTAGGTCTTGTATATCAAGCAGAGAAGATTGTCCTTGTGAAGAAGGAAGGGAAAGCCATCCTAACAATTTTGTATTGTTTTCTCTCGCTTTATTTCAGTTAAGCAAGGAGAGTGATGCCAGAAACTGTGTTTCAGGATTACTATTCTGGTGACAGATAGCTAGGTTGGCGGTGGCAGGATTAGAAAAGGATTCAAGCGGTTTGGAGGGCAGTGCAGGGAGAAATGTGTGGTTCAGAGCCAGAGTCCGAGATGTTCATGTGTCCAGTTTGGTCCCAGGGATGCAGAGTATGTCATTAACATGAAGAGGGAGGCCTGGCAGAGGAGCAGCTCTAGGCAAGAGGATTCTAATTTTAACTGCAGGACTTGATGGTGGAGACGTTTAGCCAGCTTTAGCCAGCAGTTGGAGCTGTAGATCTCGAGCGTAGAGACGTGGCTGTTCAGGGCGAACAGGTATCAGGACTGGCCCTGCCTCCTAATCTGGGGACACTGAACTGGGCACCTCTTCAGGATGATATGATTCTCTTATGGTCCCGAACTATCTGATTCTTCCCCTCTGAGAGACTATAGCCACACTTTTTGCTATGAGCCACACTCTTTGCCAAGGGGCCTCCCTGTAGGCAGGGCACCAGCTCCTTGTCTGGCTTGTCCGTGACTTGCTGGGGCCTATGGAAGGTGAGTGGGAGTAACAAGCTTCCAGGAGCAGCTTTAATGGGATTGTACACTCCTGCTTGGATTCTCTCTTGGGAATCTGCCTCATTCCATGGGAAGGGGATGGACCACGGAAGGGCTGCTCCTTTGACCTGGATTCCAGAACAGGAAGCCACGTGGAGCAGATGAAAGCTGACCCACAGCAGCAACTGAGACACAGCCACTCACATGCAAAGTACATGAGAAATAAACAGTGGTTGAAGGAAGCCACTGAGATTTAGGGGTTGTTTGTTACGCAGCGTGACCTAGAGAAAGCTAACAAAGGCACACCTCTTGTTCAATAAATCAACGGTTCTTTTCACTTTTGAGATCAGGGAATGTTTTGAAAATCCAATGATTTTCTGGCCTTATCCACAGGAAAATGAACATGAAATTTTAATTCTAATTTTAGAGTTCATAGAACCGCTGAGGCCTCACCGAGAATCACTAAGAATCCAGAAACCCAGTGATTTTTCCCTCTACTCTTTCGGGGAAAATCAAAGTATTCATTAAAAAATAAATAAGCAAATAAAATTCCACAAATTAAGATCCCTGCCCCAGAGCAGTGCTTCTCAAGGTTTAATATGCTGTCAGATCACTTGGGATCTTGTTAAAATGAAGTAGGTCCTAAGGTTCTGCATTTATATCAGACTCTTAGGTCTTGTCACTGGTGCTGGTCCCAGGATCTGCCATTAGACAGCAAAGCTCTAGAGGAAGGATCCTAAAATAGAGGAATTATTGCCAGTAAAATCCAGGAGAGGAAAAAGCCAAAAGCCCAGGCCCCACCACCCTGCAAAAATAAAATTCTAAACATATCCATCCTACCTCTAGTTGACTTGACTACGACTTTACTACATGGGCATCTAGAGTTACAAGAGACCCAGTTCTGTTTAGGGAGCAAACTTGAGGCCCTAAGAGACAAGAAAATTCCCCAGCCCTTCGCTGAAACCTGCTCTCACCTTTCTCCCTTTCTCGCTGTCTGGAAGGTAACAGTGTCGTGGGAAGCCACGGGCGCTGAAACTTTTCCCAGGATTTGGGTGTTCTGGCCCCTGAAAGCAAAAAAAAAAAAGAGAGCAAGGAGCATTTTTCAGAATCTTTTGGATGCAGGGGGTGCAGGCTGTGATTGATTCAAGTAATGATGAATACTAATGGCCGCAGAGTCTAGACAGAGAACAGACCCAAACAGCGGTGGGAGTAGCGGTTTAACACATACTCGAGTTCTTGGACCTGCTCTGGATGCAGAGCTGCTGCCTCCCAGCTGTGTTAGCTGGAGCTGCTCTTCCTCGGGGTGTTAATTCCCCACCCCTTAAATAAGGAAGATGTGGGCCGTTATGAATGTTAAGGCGCACGTTCAGAGCTCAGCAGCTGTTTATCACCCTCATCATCATCTATTCTGGCTCTTTTGTTTTACAAAAGAGGAACACTGCAGCCCCAGAGGTTAAATGACTTCCGTTATGGTAATGGCTTTGCCAAAACGTAAGCCCAGGTTTCCTGAAGCGTACTCTGGACTTTTTTAACCTCTAAACTACTCAGGATAACATAAGTGCCTGTGAGCTTTGAGCCAAGAACCATGCAATCAGAATCATCTGAATGATTCTTGGGGATTTTCTCCTTGGTCCCCATGGGTTTTGGTTTGTTGTATTATTTAACAATATACGTTGGCATATTCACGACTAAAACTCTTCTGACGTTGCAACTGTCATCATCCAATACCCCTATTAAGCAAGCGGTCTCAAGCCACCAGGTGAGAAAGAAACGGAAGCAGAAGTTAGCCAAAAACAAGGCTTCCTTATCAGGGTTCAGATTGGTCTGCAGGTCCCTTTGAGAAGCTCATGAAAAATGAGGGATTTTCTCCCAGTAACAATGCACATATTTTCCCCCTACACACAATGTTTGTCTATAATTTCTGAGCGCCCCTGGCCCCCCTCAGAGTCTGTGAAACCCTGTTTTAAAATCCCTTCTAGATGAAGCCAATATAATATTGATAATTCCACACAGCTCCTGGTACAAGCTCTCACACCGTAGATCAGTAACCGTACACTGGCTGAACAAACGAATGAGCGGGTGAATGCAGGAATGAATGAATGAGTGACAAAACTTCAAGAAAACACAGATTTTCCATTTTCTCTTACTATGGACGACAGTTCCAAAATGATTTAAAAATTATGGGATTAAAACAATCTTTTCTAATAGTGTGTTCAGGATCAGGCATGATTTTGCAAACTGAACAGCATGACGAGTACAGTGGAGTCTCAGAGAAGGGAAAGATCACAGAAAACGGAAAGAGGCAACAGTGTCTTCTGGGAGACGTGGGACTTGAAGGTTCTGAATTTGACATTCTTATGAAGTCACATTTACAACATTCCCACGGCCACGGCTGTTTCTAAGCCAGGCTGGACAACTGATGGCCGATTCTCACCACGGTTCTGCCCACTCCTCTCCTGCCCGGGACTTGCCTGTTATGCGGCCAACACAGACACCTGCTTGGCCAGCCCAGCAAGGCTGTGTGCTCCCCGCACGGTGCTAAGCTCAGCAGTCACGACTCTGCCTTGGTCCCGCTCAGAGTTTCTCCCCCAGAGAATCATCGTCTGCAGGGAAGGCAGAGCTTACAGGGCCTCACTCCTCATGAAAGCCCAAGCTGTGTGGCCCCTGGGGTCTCCAGGAAGGGACTTTGCCCTGAGGGTTCTCCTACCGACTCTCACGGGTGGTCTACGGAACGGCTGCAAGGACAGTGCATGGATGCATTTCCTTTGACACAAGCTTGGGCTTTCCTAGGGGAGCCATGGCACCTCCAGAGGCAGCAGGCGGGCACCTCTACACCCTAGTGCAGGCTCCCCGTTCTTTGGTCCTGGAGTCCGGGAACAAAGAACATCCTCCAAAGTGGGTGCCCCACCCCAACTTTGCCCACGTCAGTCTGTCCTACTTCCCCCCGAGGCCATTGGCTGTTTCTCGGGACTCCCGTACTCTCATTCTTGGCCCTATTATACCCTCCCTGGCAGCCCTAGAATCAACCCAGAAGTCTCACTTGCCCTCACATCCAACCATATCTCCCTGGTCCCGGCCCCTCCCTTTTTCATGACTGGAAGCTAAATTATCACAGTGGTCTCCTAACTGGTCTGTCAGGTCACCCCCGACTCTTTTGCCAGACTGGCCTTCCTAAAGCAGCTTCCCAATCACACGACTTTCCATAATCCTAACCAACGCCCGACCACCTTGAGGGACGCCCCGCCACCAGCCTGTCAAGGAGAACCCACAGCCTTCACCCTGGTGTTGAAGGCCTCCTGACCTGGCCACAGTCCCCCTTCTCTGCCCGCTCTCTCACATCCTCCTTACTCCCTCCTCCTGTCACCTACTTTGGCAAATCTTAACCCAAATTAAACTCTTCCTTATGGGCCTTCCACACCCCCTCTTTCTCTCCCTTGGCAACTCTGTTGTGTCCTCCAACTAAAAACACTCTCCTCCATTTCTTCATGTCTTTCCTCTACTAGTGAGTACCCTGCCCCCAGAAAGTCTCCTCCAACCCTCCCAGACGGACAGATGTAGGCCTTCTTCCTTACCCTGACATGTAAGATACTCATTAATGATGGAGATCAGGTACTGAGCACCTTGGTTCTGTACCCTGGACCACAATATGCACATATAAACATGATCACCCATCTTTACAAAACCCCCGCACATTAGCTTCCCGGATGTGCAGATAAAGCAACAGGGCTCAGGAAGGTCAAGTGGTCAAGGTCCCCAAATCACCAGCTCAGGAGGAATCAGCCAGGAATTGGAAGCCAGGTCCTGTCAGACTCTGAAGCCCTGTGTTGTCTGTCCGTCCTGCTTCCCACAGCTTGTATCAGTGGCGCACATCAGTGTTTACTCTATAGTTTAGTGATGTGTATCTATTTCTGCCTGACTGGTTGATACGTCCTTCAAAGAAGAACCATGTTTTTTAATTCAATTTTTTACAGACTATTACATCTCCCTTTTTATTTCTTCCTTATGTCACTAGAAGGGGGACTTCAGGGAAGCAAGGACTGTGTCTGTTTAGCTCACCATTCTTTCTCTAGCATCTAGAACACGTCTGGTCCCCTGTCCACACTCAAATGTGTGTTAAACAAAAGACAAAATGGAGGAAGGCAAGGAGGAAGGAGGAAAGGAAGGTAAACTAATAAATATTTGTTAAACAAATGAATCCAGTGAACACCCTAAACATTTAGGAAAAGCTTCAACGTGTGAAGGAAGGGACACGTTTGTGTTTACTGCCAGGAAAGTTGTTCAATTTGTTCCTTAGGGCTGTCTTTTGAAGAATCACAAGAAATGTCCACAAAAGTCAAGGACTATCTATCGAATTACAAACGCAAATACCATTTGACAAAAAAAAAAAAATCCACTTCTAGAAAATTATTCTACAGATATACTCACATGCGTGCAGGGTTATTCATGACAGCATTTTGTTGTAACAAAAGATTGGAAACAATCCATACGCCCATCAAATGGAGATGGCTGAATATAAATTATGGTACATTTATACAAGGGACGATTATGCAAAGCTAAGAAAGAATGTGGAAGTTCTCTCTATACTGACATGGAAAGATCTACAGACTATATTGTTCATTGAAAATGCAGGGTGCGTCCACGTCCTGGCTATTGTAAATAGTGTTGCAATGAACATTGTGGTACATGTGGGAAGCAGCAACATAGGGAGATCAGCTCGGTGCTTCCACGACCTAGAGGGGTGGGCTGGGGAGGATGGGAGGGAGGCTCAAGAGGGAGGGGACATAGGGACATGTGTATGCATACGGCTGATTCACTTCGTTGTACGACAGAAACTAGCACAGCATTGTGAAGCAGTTATACTCCAATAAAGATCTATAAAAAAAAGAAAGAGAGTGCAGGGTGCAGAGCAATATGTCTGATATGTCACCCTTTGTGTGAAGATGGGAGGAGTGGATGAAATCTTTGTTGCAAATGCACAAAGAACCCTGAAAGGATTCATAAGAAAGTGAGAACAGTGGCAGAGAGTCGGGGAGGGTGAGACTGGGTAGATGGGGGACCAGAGTGGGAAGGAGACTTTTCATAGCATAACATTGTCTTAGCAGCTCTGGCTGCTATAAGAAAATAACATAAACTGGGTGGTTTGTAAACAACAGAAGTTCATTTTTCACAGTTCTAGAGTCTGGGAAGTTCCAGATCAAGGTGTCGGCCGATTCAGTGTCTGGTGAGACACCACCACATAAATTGTTTTGTTTCACAGGTTCACAGCTGGAGAGGAATTGGCCTCAGAATGAATTCTACCTTGAGTCTCACCCTATCTAATGCAGATGATATTTAGATAAGACTTTGGACTGAAACTTTAAAGTGGGTGCTGGAATGTGTTAAGACTTGGGGGCTATTGGGATGGAATGAATGTATTTTGTGTGCAGGAAGGACATGAATTTGGGGAAGCCACGGGTGGAGAGCTGTAGACTGAAAGTCTGGGTCCCCCCCCCATAAATTATTATGTTGAAATCTAATCCCCAATGTGATGGTATTAGGAGGTGTGTGGGGTCCCTTGGTGGGTGATTAGGTTATGAAGGTGAAGCCATCACGAATGGGATCAGTATCCTTATAAAAGAGACGCCAGAGAGGTTGCTCGTCCCTTCTGCCACGTGAGGACACAGTAAGAAGACGGTGTACAAACCAGGAGGCGGGCTGCCACCAGACACTGAATCTGCTGGCATCTCAACCTTGAACTTCTCAGCCTCCGGAACAGTGAGAAATAAAGTTCTGTTGTTTAAAAGTCATCCAGTCTGTGGGTTTTTTTGTTTTTTTGTTACAGTAGCTTGAATGGACTGAAGACAAACATTTACCTGCAAACATTTGAACTTTAAATGATAAAAGCCAGTGGCTAAGGTGGGCTCACCTGAATGCCAGGCGGGATGCTGTAGATGATTCGGATGGTCTTGCAGTCTGGGTGGCCAGGCAGAGAGTGGGGAATGAGGTGGTACTCCATCTTCCCTGGAGGCTGGGTACCTGTCTTCACCCCATAAATGGTCTTACAGGTTGGACACTGCAAACTCCCATCCTGAAGAGACAAGGTCAGAATAGGAAACAGTTTTAGTAATGACCTTCCCACCCAACCCCAAAAGGTACCAGAGATAAAGGGCTGGGGTCGGGGCAAAATGCACCCAAATGAGTAACAGACCTGAGTTGCCCCCCTGCTTGGCTACTGAGGCCATTGAAAGCTGAAACTTTCTCCAAAATAAGAGGAGGAAACTTCCACACCAACCCCATGCTCCACGCTAAGGGACATGTAAGAGAGACCCCATCCTTCATAAGGAGACCGGACTTTGCCCTGCATCTCAGGACTCTGATGGGGGGATGGTGGGGGACTCGGGGACTCTGGACAGTGACGTGAGGGGTCGTGCTTTCACAGCGGGACCTGGTGACGTGTCTTCTGGAAGGATAGGAGGAGAGCTTGGGAGAGAGCCTGGACAGTAAATCCTGTTCCCAGCTTGCAAAAAGAAAGGGAGTGAGGAGAAGGAAAGCGTGGGCAGGAAACAACGTGTGTACAAAGTGCTGTCACACAGAGGGGACCAGAGCTCTCCAGGACATCCAGATCTCCTTGGGGAAGACTGGGATCCTCTGCGGGGCTATTTAAGGACGTTTCCATTCAAACTCTACTCATTTAAAGGGACAGCTTGTATTCAGGGCAATGGAAGTTACTCCGTGTGATCAAAGGATGGGAATCCAAGGCCAGGGTCCCACTCTCTGTTCTGGCCTTAACTTGCTTCATGACCTTGGATGGATCACTCCATCCAATAAATTCTCTCTGGGCCTTTTCACCCCGCTTCTCCGTAAAGAAGATAAAAACTGCGTGCTTCAAAGTATTAGTGCAAAAGAGAATAAAGGATAGTGTCTTCAACATTTTTGAAGCACCACGGAAATAAACGCAAGAGTCCTAGATTATTCTTGAATACAGTTATCAAAAAAGGGAATACATCTTCTAAGAAACCTCTTTAAACCCAAAATAACCTCTTCAAGTGCCAAATCCCGATGAAACCTTTTGTCTTAGGGTCAGGAAATTGGGCAAGGGATACAGACACACGTCGTTCACGAATAATTGAGCTCTCTGAGACAGAGAGAGATCCCAAGATCGGCCCTTCGGGAATTTCAACCACAGGGCTATATTAGGATGAAGGGCAAAAACATACAGCCATAATACAAAGGAGATACCAATTTGAATAACAATGCTAACAGCACCCTATAAAGTAGGGATTGTTTTATCTCCATTTTCCAGATGGAAAATGAAATGTCCGGGAGGTTGAAAATCTTGCCCAAGGCCATTTGGCCACTGAGCCAGGGTTTGAGCTTAGGTCTGCTGCCTTTACTCTTTTCCCACAGCAAGAGAAGTACAGAGCAGCCTCTGAGAGCCAAACATCTTTTTGGATGAATAAGCGGTTGGAGGATATCACAAAAATCTCAGACTCTGAGGCAATCCAAGCTGGGCCTGGAGAAATGAGTAGAATTCAAATTCATGCAGATGGGGAATGAAGGTTCTTCCAGGCATGGGAGAGAACGTGAGAAAACTCAATGGCTTAGGCATTGTAAGCAGAGAGTTATCATCTGAGGACACTCCCAGATTCCTGGAAACCGGCTCTCTTGGACAAGACAAGCATCACGAACAGCCTTCCCCTCCTCGAACTAGGACCCTAAGGGACTTCCAGTTATACCTTGATAAAATCTTCAGTGCTTTTGAAGGGGCAGTGAAAGGTGTTTTGAAATTGTCCACCGAAAATGAATTGTAACTGAAAATCACTAGCCCTGGAAGAAGGAAGGGTGATGGGAAATCCTTCCATGCCAGTATGACTGGATACTAACCCCTGGCCCATCATCATGGACCACTCCCCCCCGGGACTCTCAGGGACAGAAGTTTACACCTTTCAGACCACCACTCAGTGTGGATACAGGGGGAGAATCGGGTAGCATAGACCAAAAGGAAGGTAAAGACAGATTTTACCAACATCATAATTTCGTGGAAAACTGATCCTGCTGAGAACAACCAAGTTCATCGCTCCTGCTGCCCTGGGATGCCTTTGAGACTCCCCAAACCACCTGCGTGCCACTCCAATACGGCCTCCATGCTCTCGCAGCCCAGGGCCCCCGTGGGAGGTGGCAGCAGCCCAACGGGCTGGCACTAACCTTGTTGCCGTTGTTGTACATGGCGACCAGGCAGTAGATGTGGTAGATGTGGCCGCATCTGGACAGCTTACCCACTAGGTCAGGCTTGACCGTCGGCTGTGGCCCCTTGTAGCCTGAGGGGGCTGTGAGGCGCTCCATACAGATGGTGCAGTCCTGGGGGTGGGAGGGGACAGAGGAAAGAGGACATCAGCTCTCAATCAGCCTAGGAGGTCAAAGCGTCTCCAAGGTGGTTCCCGCGTGACCTCAGAGGTCAGGTGAGCTATTTCTTCTCCTCTTCTAGAAAGCCCACAAACCAGGGTAAACCTGCCTTTGGGAATCTAAATAGAATTCTGCCCTGCTCTGCACCACAGAGAAATTCCTGAAACGATTCCTGGTGGTGGTACATGTTCATTTGGGCTGGCCAACAGAATGATAACCTCCTTGGGGGCTGTGACTGACCGTCCTTCCTTGGTATCCTTCAGTGGCTTGTGGCGGAAGTCAATGCTTGCTGAGAGACTCACTGACAAGCTTTACTTAAATGGAACATCTGTAAAGGAATTGTATTTGAGGCGTCCTGGAGAGGCTGCTGCTTAAATAAGTCTACAGCAGGATTTCTCAACCTTGGCACCCTTGACATTCGGGGCCAGATCATTCTTCGCTGTGGGTGCTGTCCTGGGCCTTCCTGGGCATTGTAGGGAGTTTAGCAGCATCTTGGCCTTTGTCTACTGGATACTATCAGCATCCCCTCTCCCCTCCAGTCACGTAAAATCACCTCTGGTTGAGAACTGCTGGGACATCAAGCCCCTTTTAAAGTCAGTGCCCATAGCTTATCATACTGCCTTTCTTAAATGCAGACTCTCATGTTAAGGCAGTTTAGAATCAGTCAGCAGTTTGCTGGATGGGGAAGTGGGAGAGGTTAAGCTGCAGCTATCGCTCAGGACCATGAACCTGGGAGCCTGGGCGTCCGCTCTGACCAGCTCTGCACCAGTCAGGACTTAAAAAGCAGCTCCTGCCGCATCCTGTGGAAAACTCTAGCAGAGGAGATGCTTGTGGGTGACGGAGAAGGTGAGCCCCGCCCTGTCTCCCCTGCAGTCACCTCGTCTGGCGGATGCCGGACTTTCTGCAGATACTTCTTCAGCACCTCTTCTGGGGTTTTACCTGTGGGGACAAGATATTCAGTGGGCCACCAAGACAAGCTGGATGTGCCAGAGAGAGGGGAGTTGTTAGCCAAGCTCAAAGCAGAAAAGGCAAGCAATTCATTGCGCAATTGGATTTAAGAACTGAAAGGGAACAGAGTGGTAGAAGATGGAGGGAGGTGGTCTGAGGAGGTGGGAGGTGTTCACATCCGCCTTTATCTCCTTAGGTCACTTCCCTGACAGCCCCCTGCCTAATTTCAACAAACCCACTTTTTAACTGACAGAGGTTGAGTGGGTTTCTCTTCCACATCATCGAAGAGCCTGGACCCGCCCAAACGATGCAATGAGATGACAAATGAAAGCACTCTGCATTGCAGCTCTATTTACAATAGCCCAGAGATGGAAACAACCTAAGTGTCCATCATGGGATGAATGGATAAAGAAGATGTGGCACATATATACAACGGAATATTACTCAGCCATAAAAAGAAACGAAATTGAGTTATTTGTAGTGAGGTGGATGGACCTAGAGTCTGTCCTACAGAGTGAAGTAAGTCAGAAAGAGAAAGACAAATACCGTATGCTAACACATATATATGGAATCTAAGAAAAAAAAATGTCATGAAGAACCTAGGGGTAAGACAGGAATAAAGACACAGACCTACTAGAGAATGGACTTGAGGATATGGGGAGGGGGAAGGGTAAGCTGTGACAAAG